CGAGGGTAGTGCCGCCTACGCTGACCCACTGTTTTGGGAATCCACTTGTGCTGGTCTCACTTGCCGGAAGCGGAACAAGGCCATTGATATGTTCCTCGCCATGAGGTGTCCAGGTCTGACTGCATTTTGCCACGATTTCTTTTGAATCCTGCCTTAAGTCGTGGAGATATAATTTACCCGAGTCGGTACCCAGCAGCAAAGCCTGCGGCGATAGCGCGTGCAGGACGGTTGGCCCATCAACCCCTCCCGATCCCGCAGTTTGAGGTATTGCAATTTTGCTCACAACCTTGCCAGTTTCGGTGTAAAAAGCCTTGACGAGACCGTCTGTTCCTGCTGAGTAACATAGATCCCCCTCGTGACTGAATGCAAGACATCGACATGATCCTTTGTGTCTCCTAGTTGTCCACACCGTGTCCAGTGAACCGAGTCCGCTCTCGGAGAGACTGGCCGTGGAAGATCTGCGCAGTGAAGGTATTATTGAGCCATTGGAATTCGTGGGTTTCAAGGGCGGTGAGGCGCTATCTTCTGACGTATCCGCAATGACCTCGGAGTCGGAGGGGAGTTTGTAGGTGTGTACATGTCCTGAGGACAAGCCGATCGCAAACAGTGGTTCCGTGGGATGGACGACTTGAGCAAAAATATCGGACTTGAGAGGGAGGGTACAAATGGTGTCGAACATGGTTTGAGAGAACGATCAAGGCATTGCCGGAAGGTGTTTCTTTCCTGGTGGTACAAAGGCGTGCGTTAAAACTGAAGCTTCACGCGATGGGTTGCATTGAATCGGAGACAGAACTGAATGAGAGCTAGAGAGAGCTGTGCGGCTTTTACTTAGGTAAGTAGTTGGTGCACTAGAAGTGAAGATCTCCGGGGGCCATTAGGCCATTGGAGGATTCTTAGGGGGCCGCTGAGGGCGATCAGCTTTAGGGCATCTTTACCGAAAACTCTAATCAAACAGTCCTTAAAACCCTAGGGCTTAGGGCTACTACCCAGGGAGGCACACGTACCCTCAGTGGACGCCTAACCACCCACCACCCTGGCGCCTGCTATCATCGGACTCAAACCATCATATAACAACATTTAACCATGGAGTGATCGCCCAAGGACCCAGTTGTACAGCATTGGCTTTCTTGCGCGTTGTCCACCAGGGATATTTGAACATATGTTTCATTTCATGCTTTTCTAATCGATTTCTACGTCTATCATGGCAGCAGCAGATGTCACTCAAGACGACTCCGACGCTCGAGTTGATGAAACAACTGCGCTCCTTGCTCCCTCGGGTGAACAGCCCACGTCTTCTGATAACAACGACAATGACGAGCCAATGTCCAATGGAGCGAATGGCAAGGGAGAAGACAAACCGCTGCCCAAGGATCAACTCTTCTACCTCTGCTTCGCCCGCCTGATCGAACCCATCGCATTCTTCTGCATCTTTCCCTTCATCAATCAGATGATATGGGACACTGGGGAAGTGGCGAAGACGGATGTTGGCTTCTACAGTGGAATGATTGTGGGTCGCCTTGTGTCGCAGAGATCTCCTAGTGGCACATATTGACAATGCGCGTAGGAGTCGCTGTTTTCTCTGACGCAAATGCTGTTCATGATCCCCTGGGGCAAAGCTGCCGATCACTTTGGAAGAAAACCTGTCCTTGTCAGCTCGTTGGGTGGCGTGGCCCTGGCGACTTCTATCTTTGGACTGAGCAAGACAATATGGCAGATGATCCTGTTTCGATGTTTCGCTGGAGTCTTTGCTGGCACGGTCGTGTAGGTTTATTCGATCGTCTTCGGGACAATGCAAGAACAGATCGCTCACAGTGAACGCAGGACTATCCGTGCCATGATTACAGAGATTAGCACGCACAAGACCCAGGCCAGAGCATTCAGCTTCTTTGCTTTCACAGGAAATCTGGGAATCTTTCTAGGTCCTCTGCTTGGTATGTTACCCTTGTTTTGTAAAGATCACTCGACCTGCAAGGCTGCTGACAGCTCTACGTAGGAGGAGCACTCGCAAACCCTGCAACGGTATACCCGTCTGTGTTTGGACATATCAAGTTCTTTCGTGACTACCCATATGCACTCCCTACATTTGTGTCAGGCTCAATCGCTATTATTGCTACCATCACTCTTGCGTTGGGCATCAAAGAAGTGAGGACTGACATTCATTTCCTTCCCCCCTACCTCTTGCTTTCTACGTTGTCCAAGCTGACTTAGTCTGGTTGTCCCTAAAGACTCTCGTGCGATCTCCGACGCAGCAGTCCGCAGGCGCCCGGAAAGAAATGTCGATCCCCGACCTGCTTCGATCTCCCAATGTCCCGATAACACTGTATATCTACGCGCACATCATGCTCCTGGCTTTCTCCTACACAGCTATCGTCCCGGTGTTTTTCTTCACCCCGGTCGATCTGGGCGGCTTCGGGTTCTCGCCCTTCCTCATCTCGGTATTCATGGGTTTGGGCGGCCTCTCTCAATCGCTCTGGCTCCTCATTGTCTTCCCATGGCTGCAGGCCCGCTGGGGTACTAAGAGCGTCCTGGTTCTCTGCGCAACCGCTTACCCGATCTTCTTCGCCCTGTACCCCGTCTGCAACCTGTTCCTGCGGTACCACATGACAGCCGTGTTCTGGACCATCGCCCCCATCGCCCTGGCGTTCGGCAGCGGCGTTGCCATGTCCTTCACCGCGATCCAGCTCGTGCTGAACGACGTCTCGCCCGGGCCCGAGGTGCTCGGCACTCTGAACGCCGTGGCGCTGACCATGGTCAGCGGGATAAGAGCCTTTTCCCCGGCGCTGTTTGCAAGCTTATTCGCAACCAGCGTGCGGAGCGGGGTGCTCGGCGGCCATGTCATCTGGATCTTGATGGTTGCGCTGGCCCTGGGCTTCGCGGTTGTCAGTCGCTGGGTACCTGAGCCTGGAAAAGAAGACAACACGCCCAAGCATGTCACTACGCATGGTCATGGTGACGGCAATGGCAATGGCATCGCCAACGGCAACGGCAACGGAGCCGCTGCAGCCGAGGAGGGTGAGGAAGACGACGACCACGAGTAAGTCGATTTAGTGAGCAATATCGTCAATGATGTGTATATGTATATGAAGAGAAGTGAGGAGATGGAATATCTGCGGAAAGCAGCCAGGAAGTGGGCCCAGGGGCTACCACAGCGCGCACCCTCAATAGACGGAGCGATGGATGACCCGCCAAATCACGCTGGAGTCAATCTGTTCGAGACAGGCTATAGACTACGCAAAAAGTACAGTACTAGACGGAGGTCGTTACAACTCACACAGAAGCAATGATACATGAGCGTCGGTAGGACGGAAGGACGAAGGTGCAATCAGGGAATAGATATAGCAGGCGTTCGGAAACTTCCGACATGTCGACCAACGTGAATAATGACTATACACAAGGCTAAGGAGATGGTCTGGACAAAATTATTTTCAGGCTTCAGATGGCCGCCCTCTCAAAGGAAGCAAATCATCTGGCAACACTGTAGATGGAATCAATGCGTCCGTTCCTAAAGATCCGCTCGTGCCGGCTCCCCCGCCCACGCCCTTCTGATCAGTTCTCTAATCGGCTCCTTTTCCACCTTTCGTGGGTTGGGATATTGATTGCTCACGGCAATCTCGGCAGCCTTGTCGATGTCCTCCTCCTTCATGCCGTAATCCTTTAGCGCGCGCTTCACCTGCAACTTCTCGAGCAGGATGTTCAGTCCATTGATGGCGTTGCCTTCACTCCCGGGGAGGGCAGAGGCGAGCCTCTCCATCGCTTCTGGAATAGCGGGAGCGTTGTAGGAAAGCGCGTGGGGAAGGACGATAGTGTGAGTTTCGGCATGAGGGAGATTGAAGGAGCCTCCGAGCGTGTGGCATAATTTATGGTGCAAGGCCATCGAGGACGAACCAAGACAGACACCGCAAAGCCAGGCTCCATACTGCGCCTTTTCACGAGCAGACTGGGATTGGGGGTTTTGAATGATCTCTGGGAGTGATTCCGCAAGGGCTTTGGTTCCCTCGATGGCGAGAAGGGAGATAATCGGATTTTTATTCTTCGCGTAGAGCGCCTCCACTGCGTGCGCAATCGCATTCACTCCTGATGTAGCACTGAGAGATGCGGGAAGGGTCATGGTGAGGTCGACATCATAGATTACCGTGCCGGGAAGAATCTTGGGATCGGTCCGCGTGGTTTTTCGACCATCTTGCGTTTCGCCCAGTATGGGTGTCATTTCACTTCCAGCGTAGGTAGTTGGGATGCAAATATGGTGTAGGCCGGTGCGGACTGAAATCGCCTTGCCCAATCCTGTCGTTGAACCTCCTCCTATTGAGACGACACAATCTGCGGATTTGGATTGAATGAAAGCCATGGCTTCTTCGGTAATGTGCGAGGGAGTATGCATGGTAGCATTTGAGTAGGTGCCGGCAGGCTGAATCGACGCGGCAGTGAGGATTTTAGCAAGATCTTCAGCTTGACTGACTTGCTGGGGGGTCGAGAGGATAAGAGGTGATTTGAAGCCTAGACGTCGGATCTCATCCGGAAGTTTTTGGATACTGCCTTTCCCAAAGACCACTCGGCCTGGGTTGGCATTGTACTCGAAAGGATCCATCGAGGCAGAATCAAGTCGGTTGGTTGTCGGTTGGACGCCAAAGGCTTGCAGTCTCGAAAAATTGCAAGACTCGGGGAATAGCAAAGGCAGAGAGAAAGTCGATAGGGAAGAGTTGTAGTGCGTTGGTCTGTTAGAAAGCGACCCCGCGGTCTTTTGTTTGGAGTTGAGGGCAACGGAATCAACCGCAGCGCAGCGTCATCGGAAAAGGGATTCCTGCTGGTCAATGTCTTCGTGGGGCAAAGCCGGCAGATGCACCCAAATTCCTGGGCTCTGAGCTCCAAACCCCACCACCCAAAAGCCCCCCCAAGGCACGAAGGGAGAAGTTCCGTCTGGGGCATTATCCGATTTTGCTTGCAAGATCTTTCATAAAGCTGACAAACCCTCCCCAGGTGAATGGAATGAAATCCCGCGTCTTTCAATACAGAATTGCTCTGAATAGGTATATCGTTGTGGATGCCGCCCAGCTAATCGCCAACACCCCCAAGGCTTGCAGCATCTGCTTGGTGGCCCTGATACCGTCGTTGTAAGTCGAGGCCAGAGGAACTGTAGCTTTGCTACGCCAGAAATTCGCAATGTGATTGTATGCCAGGGCAAGGCCGCCGGCGTTGGCGGCACTGAGTAAGAATGGCATGGTGTTGCGATCGGAGGAGACGGCAATCACGAGAATTACCGATGACACAAACGAGGACACTGTCTGGTCCATTGTTCAGTATCTGACATAACAGAAGAGTGTTTCCTTCGAGACGCTTACTGCTAGCACACCACTAGCCTGTGTGGTTCGGGTTTTGTGAAGCTGTCGTGCCGCTGTGTTTGAATAGCGTGATGCGCTTTCAGTCTGTGGTTCCCACTGATGAAGGTCGTAGATCGCCATAGCTGATAGCAAGCCAAGGTAGCCGCTGCCGCAAGCTTGGACAGCGTGATATATTTCAAGAATGAAAGACATGATTGTCTAGGGTGCTGTGGTTCAATGGCGAAGAGGGACAAGAGTTTTGGTGACGAAGACCACGAAGACTAAGAGATGCTTGAGAGGCACGAGAGGCTGCAATTCCATCATAGGGCCAATGACTAAGGCAATCTGGTGCCAAGACATTCAAGAGACACCCACGGCAAACTCCCTCCAATACTATGCACTGTAATTGTCAAGCAGCATGGATGAGTATCAAATGTTTATGGCTCACCGAAGGTTGCATTACCCCTTCCTAAAGACATGACTTTGACCAGGTTGCCCGCTGTAGACTATAACCCCTAACAAGGGGTAAAAGCGGCACCGTCGCCACACCTGCTACAAAGTTAGCCTTGTTTGTCTTCGAGGCTTTTTTTTTCAGCCTCTCTTTCTGATCCTGGCTCATCGTCCCTAGACTCTGAGGACATACCATCTTGGATCCCTGCAGGATGACCGAAGAACTGTCGGCGCCGCCTGTTCTATCCACACCCGATACATATATATTGGAAGAAACTCTTCCGGAGGCTGTGCGATCATCAGAAGCACTGTCAGACGAGCAGATCAAGACAAGGTATGAGATCAATAGAACTATCAACGAAATCAGGCTGCGAAAATGGAAGCGAGTTGCGTTACAATTCCCCGATCATATGCTTGCACACTCGGCAAGAGTCTACCAACTCCTAGCCAGGGGGTTAGAAGTGCAAGCCAAAACGCTTGCTGAGGCGCATATGGACGGCACTGACAATGGCAACTCAAATTCAGCGGATCCCGATATGTCGGGGCTCTCTATCGAAGGCACAAAGCCAGTCACGCTCACCATACTAGGAGACACCTCGTATGGCTCCTGTTGTGTGGATGAGATTGCTGCTGAGCACGTTGATGCAGACGCCGTTATTCACTACGGAAGAGCCTGCTTATCGCCAACTGCAAGATTGCCCGTTCTGCACATCTTCACTACCATGGGTCTGGAGATGGACCAAGTAGTCACATCTTTTCAAGCAACGTTTCCAGATCTCCACGCGAAGGTGGTGCTAACGGCTGATGTCCCTTATGCTGAGCATGTTGTCCCTCTCTTCAAGGCGCTACAAAATTTGGGCTACTCAGACTTATTCGCGGCTTCTATTATTCACGATCCGTCTTCGGCAATTCCAAATCGAACAGTACCACCTTCGATCACGAAAGACCCTTCGTCCCTGTCACAATGGAATCTATTCCATATCTCCGACCCCCCTACGTCTCTGCTGTTGACACTCCAGTCACGCATGGCCAGTATAAAAGTCTACCCTACCGATACCATTCAATCCTCCTCAACTCCTACCACCGTTTCTTCTGCCCTGGAGACATCTACGGCTCACCTACTCCGCCGCCGCTATGCCCTTGTCACCTCTCTCACCACGGTTTCAGCCTGGGGGATTCTCGTTAATACGCTCTCTGTCAAGAACTACCTGTCGATCCTGTCACACATCCAATCGCTAATCTCCGCCGCGGACAAAAAGTCGTACCTCTTTGTTGTCGGGAAGCTCAACCCTGCAAAACTGGCCAATTTCTCAGAAATTGGAGGGTGGGTGGTTATTGGATGTTGGGAAAGTTCTTTGATTGACAGCCGGGAATTCTACCGACCAATTATTACACCGTTCGAGTTGGAGATGGTTTTAACAGGAGATGATCAGAGAGTGTGGACGGGGCAATGGAGGGGAGATTTTCAGGTAGTGTTGGAGGATGCCGAGAGACGGGAGCAGAATGGAGAGGGACAGGTTGGAACGTCGAACGAAAATGCCGCTGCGAACGAGGACCAGGAAGGCGAAATTAACCCGGATTCGGAGTCAGAATCTGAGCCGCCCGAGTTTGATCTCCGGACAGGCAAATATGTCTCACGAACCCGACCGATGCAGAGGTCTCGACAGCAAGTTGCGTCAATGCCTACACCGACTTCTAGTGCCTATAATGTTTCGTCTTCCACCGCACTGACAAGACGATCAAACGGCACCATGGTCACGGTCAATGGTGTCGCCTCCCCCGCCGCCGAATACCTTGCACAAAAACGGTCTTGGCGTGGTTTGGGTAGCGATTTTGAGGTCAAATACGAGGAAGATGAGGCAGAGCTGGGCAGTGTCATTGAGGAAGGCAGGACTGGTGTTGCGAGAGGGTACACAGTGGGGGAAGAGCTAGAGAGGACTTGAACTGTGTCAGCGGGTGCTGGCAGTGTGTTCAAGATGTTATACGTTGCTTTTGACGTGCTGGGCCGAGCGAGGCTGAGCTGTCTTTGATGTCCACTGGCCCTGCCGTTCTAATGTCCCACGACTTGAAAAATCCCCTCCTCTGATCCGCAGAACAGGTCAACATGATTGTTCCAAGCTAAGGTGGCAATTTGCATCACATCAAAGAGAATGCCATCATATGTGGTACTTGATCGAGATATCAACTTGCTGGTCAGGACGAGCCTTGCGTCATGGTGCACGGATATGACTTCCGATGATTGACCTACATCCCAATCAGGAAACGATGCTCCTCCTTACAGGTTCACATGTATCCTTGGTGGGTTAGCAACGGTCTTCCAAAAGTGAAGGGTTGCGTGGCAGTCGCATGATCGCCATGTTTCTGATGTCAAAAGCCTCAGAGATTATCCTGCAGAGGGAGTTCACTCTCTGCCTCCATACTTAACCATCAGACACTCTCCACTTAGACCAACTGTTGGATATTTCGGTGAGGAACTCGAGAGAAATAGCATTTTCACGCTCACAATGGCCACGAAGAATGCGGTATCCAAATTGCTCCCCAAGGCTGCTAGACCGGGCCTGTTATTTCCCCAGAAACCACGAACCCACCGCCTCTTGTCTACGAGTCCCGTCCAGAGGCAGGTGCAGACACTTCTGCAGGACAAAGAGAATGGATTTGGATTTATACGGCACAATCCTCGCACGCCCAAACCTCGCAGCAAAGGTGTGACGGAAATCCGAGGCCCATACTATTCGTCTTACGGGAAGCGTCATCTACAAGACGTGTTGGAAACCATGGGGTACCATGTCGACGGACTCAAGTTTGCTGGAGGCAGCTTCTCCATGATGCCCGAAGATCGGGTCCGAGAATTAATTGACTTGGCTCACGAATACGACGTGTATGTGAGTACTGGAGGGTGGATGGAACACATCTTGACCCAGCCCGACTCCAATGCCGTGGTAGAGAAGTACTTGCGGAAGTGCAAAGATCTGGGATTCGACGTGATTGAGATCTCGTCGGGCTTCTTGTCTTTCCCACCAGATGACTGGTTGCGATTGGTGGACAAGGTACACAGCATGGGGATGAAGGCAAAACCTGAGTTGGGCATCCAGTTCGGGGCAGGTGGTGACACTGCAGCAGAGGATCTAGAAGCCACAGGCACATCCGACCCCAGCAAGGTGATCAATCTAGGGAAGAAGTTCCTCGAGGCGGGTGTCGAAAGGATGATGATTGAAAGCGAGGGGATCACTGAGAACGTCAAGAGCTGGCGGACAGACGTGATTCAGGCAATCTTGCGAGACCTCCCGCAGGAGAAGGTCATGTTTGAGGCCGCGGATCCTCCGGTTTTCAATTGGTACGTCCGCGAGTTTGGCATTGATGTCAACCTGTTTGTGGACCATTCGCAGATTGTGCAATTGACCTGTCTGAGGTCAGGTATCTGGGGTATGGCCGACACGTTTGGCAAGATTGTGAGCTACAGAGAATGATGGTGGCGTATTGATGCGACATGCCTACGGCACTTCTTGATACCGAGATGATTATGCGACGCATATGTACCGAGTACCAGCAATGTAATTTATGGAAGGCTGCATTAGGAATATGTATAATGGGAATACCTGAGAGAGTACTTGTCTCCGGAAGTAAGGGTCTTCCTAAGGGTCCATCCCACTGGTCCTTTGCCGTTTCATCGGGGCCTTCCAGCAGCCAAAGGATCTAGGGTGTCAGCCGCTAAGCAGAGCCTATTATCATGGGGATCGCCGGCGCCCCTAGACACCCAACTGGGTAGGTTTCATTTGCCCTATAGCCGCCTACCGAGCACAACTCCAGGCACAAGTCCCCTACGGAGTAATAATTCAGTAACGCCAACTCTAGTTAGCCACCTGGTGCCACTACACCGCCCCATTTTGGTGTGGCGGCTATGCACTTTTGTACACACTCCTGGGTATTGTTGCGAGGATTGTGTGCTCCGTTTTCCTTTTACGAACACCGCCCCCCGAAAGACATCATCCTCCCTGCACCACGGATCTACCGGATGGCACAAGAAGCTTAGCATTGAGGTCTTGTTCCTGCCCAAGGGATTTGACTGGCTGTACCGGTCATCAAATCTGACAACCAGTGGCAGTGAGCCTGTGGCCCTGCGTGATTTGGCCTGGACCACCCGTTGACATCATGGCCTGATTCCTCAACACGAACTCCCTCCAAACTTCCCGCTATGCAAAAATTGTGGAAATACCCTTTCAGCTCGCCATTGTTGCTCACTGCAGTAAACGGAATCTACTAATATCCATCCTATCGTTCCATGCAAACGGGGTAGTGATACGGTATGATACTCCACAGAGCTTCGCCATCACTCCGGTGACTGCGTCTCGTGAAGGTGAAATAGGCTACATCCCCTATTCTTATTTTCCTTTGTGTCTTGCCTGTCTTGCGACGTGTCGTGTGCCTCTCAAGCTTGGGACCACTTATCATCATGAAGTTTGCATTGCTAGCGGTCATCGCCAGTACTGTCGCGGCGGGCGTGGATGGTGAGTACCATGGCCGTTCGAGTTTGTTTGGCTGGGGAATCTAACATTCAATGCAGCACACGCGATCTCCCTCGAAAATGACCTCGTTGACACCTTAGTTGCCGTCGAGAACCTGCGACGGTCTCTCCCTAACTCGCCCCAAGGATACACTCCGACCTTTCAGAACTGCCCTCCCAATGCCCCCGTGGTTCGAAGCGCCGCTTCACTCTCGCCGAACGAGACCGAGTGGTTACAGAAGCGGAGGAATAACACGGTTGC